ACATTTTTTACCAGAAAGAGCTCAACATGAGACAACGACGGTGGGTCGTGCTACTCAGCGATTACGAATGTGACATTCGTTATCATCCGGGTAAAGCCAATGTAGTAGTCGATGCCCTAAGTCGGAAAGAATATACTGGTCGTAGAGTCAAATCTTTGACTCTAACTATCCATTCACACTTGTCCACGCAAATTAAGGAGGCTCAGGTCGACGCTTTGAAACCTGAAAACGTGGCTGGTGAATCCCTTAGAGGGATGGATAAGAACTTGGAAGTCAAGGGTGGCGTAGCCTTATACCTCATGGATCGGATCTGGACACCGAAACACGGTGGCTTCAGAGACTTGGTCATGACCGAAGCTCACAACACACGTTATTCCGTCCACCCGGGTTCAGATAAGATGTATCTGGATCTTAAAAAGCTATACTGGTGGCCTAACATGAAAGCAGATATTGCTACCTTCGTGAGTAAATGCCTTACTTGCGCAAAGGTTAAGGTCGAATACCAGAAACCCTCCGGTCTTCTACAACAACCGGAAATACCAAAATGGATGTGGGAGCGGATCACTATGGACTTCATAACCAAGTTACCCAAGACGACGGGTGGACTTGATTCCATATGGGTCATCGTGGATAGACTGACCAATTCTGCACACTTCCTACCGATCAAAGAAACAGACAAGATGGAGAAACTTACCAGAACTTACATTAGGGAGATTGTAAGGCTGCACGGCATTCCTTTATCTATCATCTCGGACCGAGATAGTAGATTCACATCGAGGTTATGGCAGTCATTGCAAAGTTCCCTAGGAACTACGCTGGACATGAGTACAGCCTACCACCCACAGAACAACGGGCAAAGTGAGAGAACTATCCAAACCTTAGAAGATATGTTGAGTGCCTGTGTGATTGACTTTGGAAAAGCTTGGGATACTCACTTACCCCTAGTCGAATTTTCCTACAACAACAGTTATCACACGAGCATAAAGGCAGCTCCATTCGAGGCCCTCTATGGCCGAAAGTGCAGGTCCCCTCTGTGCTGGCTGAAGTGGGTGATACCCAGTTGGCTAAGGGACGAGTTCCCAAAAGCACTCTCACTGGTCCGGAAATCATTCGGGAAACGACAGAGAAGATCGTTCAGATTCGTGAATGATTGAAAGCCTCTAGAGACCGACAAAAGAGCTACGCTGATAAACGCAGAAAACCTTTGGAATTTCAGGTGGGAGACCGAGTCCATCTCAAAGTCTCACCTTGGAAGGGCTTCATACGCTTCGGTAAGTGTGGGAAGCTGAATCCTAGGTACATAGGGCCTTTCGAGATTCTCGCAAGAGTTGGCCCCGTAGCTTACAAACTTGATCTACCCGACACACTTCGTAACGTACATTCTACATTCCACGTATCTAACTTGAAAAAGTGTCTGTCCGACGAGACTCTTGTAATCCCACTCGACGAGATCGAGATCAACGAGAGCCTTAACTTCGTGGAAGAACCTGTAGAGATCATGGACCGTGAGGTCAAGAAGACGAAGCAAAGCCGTATCCCTATCGTGAAGGTTCGCTGGAACGCCAAGCGAGGATCGGAATTCACTTGGGAACGCGAGGATCAGATGAAACTGAAATATCCTCATCTTTTCGCTTAGTTATTTGTAACTTCTTATTTGCTTAAATTCTAATTTCGGGATGAAATTCCTTCTAACGGGGGGATGATGTGACAACCCGAAATTTCCATTTGTACGAACATTATCTATTCAACAGAAGCTAGTCCAGTTTCAGTGATTTTCAGACTTGTCCGAACAAGTTTGTGTACATTAGGGTTTACATTTCTGGACATATCAGGAGAGTGGATACTCCTGTAATTGTGAAACTTGAACATTGTAAGTTTCATGATGTTATAGTCCAACTTTCGGAATAAAAATATTTTCTGTCAAAATATTTCAGGACTATAAATAGATTTCTGAATTTAATTAATTCATTATTCACAATTCTAACTAGAGAAAAGCCAATTCTCTTTAACGGATCTTCGGGTTTTCATCCTGGATTGTGAGTCTACTTTCCTAAATGTGTTTTAATACTTGTTATATGCTTTATAACATCAATTACATGTCTAAACTGCAACATCTGAGAGTTTACCGCCCAAGAACGTTCTTGGGGAGTAAACTCCAAAACGAAGCCTAAAGGCTTCCTAGTCCCTATTCCTTGTTAGACAACTTGTTTAGGGGTTAGTGTATAAACATTTGGGACTAAAAATCAATCAAGAATCACAAGTTATAGGAGTTTACGGCCAAGGAACTTTCTTGGGCCGTAAACCCCTTTTTAAGGGTCATAGATGCCCTAACTCACCTCCTTAAGCCTAAGGACTTTAACAACTAATGCTTGTGATTATTTTGGACACCAAAACACTTCAAGATCTTAGGGTTTTAGGAGTTTATGGCCAAGGAAAGATCTTGGGCCGTAAACCCCTTTTTCATGTGTTAAAGATGCCACAAACACCCCTAAGGCTTAAGACAATTTACCTTGAACACATGGGACTTGAATGGAGAACAAAAGACAACATAATCACTCCTTAAAAGGAGTTTACGGCCAAGGAACATATCTTGGGCCGTAAACTCCAAGTAATGACACAAATGTGTGCATCTTGTCCCCATTAGCCTTAGATAAAAGCATGGAAGCTATCCTACACATGCAAGGGCCTCAAATGAATTTAAAACAACACCCCATAGGAGTTTACGGCCGTAAACTCTAGGGGATATGGTCCTTTGGCCGTAAACTCCCCAAAGGAGCATTCCAAGGCCTTAAACTACTTCAAGTATTTTTCCAACAAGGCTAGGCTTATTCTACGACCAAGATAAGACTTAAAAACACCCAAAACCTCTATGTGAGGAGTTCACGGCTGTAAACCCATGGGTTCATGGCCGTAAACTCCAATGGGTAGGGTTTGTTGGGTGGTGAACTCATCTACAAGGCCATTTGTGCTTTAAACCCCTTTTGCCTTGTCCCGTATCAACTTAGATGCAACCATTAGGACCTATAACACTTACACAAAGTGTATACATGTTCCTAAGTGTTTAAGTTATTATTTGGCTAATTAGTTATATATATGCTTATTATATGATAACTAGGCTCGAACGTGTGAACAAGCCTCCGTTTGCCATTTAGCACGGTACCCGATACATCAATTCAATCTACTCACTACAAGTGAGTTTATACCCCTTTAATCAACCTTTGAAATACTTTTAATTGTTTTAAATACTTTATGGGGGGAATACAAGTCAAATACTTATAGTTATTACATCAATCACATGTGATTGCATTACTCACATGTGATTAATAACTAGAAAACCAATGATTTTATCACTGTTCAACTGTTTATCAAACTGTTTCACTTCAAATGTTTTACAAACTCATTTTACTTATCAAATGCTTTTATTAAACTTTTTTTTACTTCTTATAAATTGCATGCCCATATATGTATATATATAAGTAATGTTTAAAGGGCTTAGGAAGGCCATCCGCCCTATTTCCTTTTCGCGCACTGAGATGTGGTCTGGTGGGATTTCGGGTGACCATCCGAGGGTCGTTTCCATATTAGTTATATATATCATATATACATGTATAGACATAAAAGGTACTTCCATATTCATATTTATCAGTACATTAATAGTTAGTTACCATCGGGGTAACACAATACATATACAATGATGCTACAAACAATACATATACAATGATACTAGAAACAATACATATACAACTATACTAGAAACAATACATATACAATGATGCTAGAAACAATACATATACAACTATACTAGAAACAACTACATATACAATGATGCTAGAAACAATACATATACAATCATGCTAGAAATAATACATATACAATGATGCTAGAAGCAATACATATACAACTATACTAGAAAGAGAATAGTACATATACATGAATACTTTATTATTGTGATTTAAATCGGAGCATGACTTAATTGTCATGGCTCGAGTTGTAGCCAGAATTCTCTTGAAGGGAGAGCGTGAGTTTGCGTATAGATCTATACTGGATTGACAATCCTACACCTTGCTGCTAGCTACAGCCGGACCTGCAGGTCTGCGGGTGCCAAACGTCATTCCGTTATTACGACCATTCATTATGTCGTTGTTACTAGTCGATAGTATGGTGCAATTTATCACATAATGCCTTAATATAAATCCGGTTTAAGGTAGTTAGTACAAAAGTAGTTCTTATAATACAAGGCTACAGTACTACAATGATTTACCCATTACATATTTTAGTGATAACCTCACTTAAATGTAAATGTACAAACTATATTTTGTTAAATGATAGTTACATTTGGGAAATTACACACTTTTACATCAAACGAGCATACAAAACAGTTAAGCCTTGGTAGAAGGCTACTTTAATAGAAAATATAGGTTTTTCTGAGAGATGCAAACTTTTACAAACAATTGCAAACCTTTACATATATTTTACAAACTTATACTTGATACATGCTCAAACATTTTTGAATGACAAATACCAACACTAAAATACTTATGAACTCACCAGCTTAATGCTGATAAACTCTTTCAAAATAACTTGTATTCTCAGGTCATCAGTAGACAGGTACCAAGGCCAGCTTTTGAGAAGATGGAACGCATTCAAGACTCATCTTATTATTTTGATATACATTATTTTTGGTGTCTATACTGTACAGAAAACACTTGTATTAAAATTATATATTTAATGCAATGGATGATGTTGTTTGCTTATTTACATTTACTGTGTTGTGATACTTACATGACGTCCTCCGCCCCAGAACGTTTCCGCCGTTCTTGGTTTTGGGGTGTGACAATGAGCATCAATTGCAACATCTTTCATCTTCTCAATCTCTCTAAAGAACTCTACACAACCATCTTGAAAACAAGGTGCTCACCCAGCCCACTTAATGTCATCCAGATGCAATCCTTTCAAAACACCAGACCTACAAACTCTTAAATTTCCTGCCTTTTCTAGATCTATAACTCACCAAGTGCTATACACAAGGTTTCAAAGTTGAACTCCATGACTTTTTCATTATGCATGATTTTGTCGATACATTGCTCATATTTTCCAACATATTGGCCCTGAAGACTGCTCCTAACATCCCGATTATCCAACAGCATGCCATCTGAAAGGGACTCATATCTATTCGAGGTCACAGTCTTTGATGATTCTATAATAGCAATATCATTCAAAAGGGCGCATGAATCAACAGCACTACATGTCAAGTCCAATCCACTACATAGAACAACATGTGTTCTTCAGTTCCATGAAATCGATACAAGGGTACTATGGTGTTCTGAATGATCAGTTGAATTGAGTAAAAATCTAATTGAAGTTTCATGGCTTTATGATAGACCTTTTCTACAATCTCAACCTCTTCACCTGTCAAACACATGGTCAATTTGTCCCACAGTTCTTCGATCTAAGATATTGAAGCCTAATAGTGGAGAAAATATATATCATAATATAAGATTCCACTTTTCTTATTTAATTAAGTTGAATGGATGATGAGACAAACCTCATATTTTTTTTAGAGGAGAGACTATCGATCCATTTTTTTTGAAGATGGATGTTTTCATCAAGTTCAAGAACTGCTTGTATCTCCTTGTTTAAAAATGGTTAAAGCCACGTGGAGGGTGCCATGGTAGAAAGGGAATAAGCAGAAAGTTTAGTTTTCTCAAATGGAGTTGCAAGCTTAACACATAATCTCTCTCCTACTGCTTTTCCAGATGTTGTTGCTAGCAAGAAATCTGTATGTTTGATCATTGCACGATCTGAAATATTTCCTGTTGGAAGTTCATAGCCCCATTCATGCATTAATAAGTACTAATCAAACCTAAATTCATCAAATTATATCTTTTTATACTGTTGATATTCTAGACTATAGACATTGGAATTCAAATGCCTACTTGGACAATTGATTTAAACATTGTCATCTTCTTCACACCCATTTTCTGATCTTACAGGTTACGGTTTTATCGTCATCGTCATCTGAGCATTCTTTAGCCATCTCTAAACTAAAAAGCCATCAATTCAAGACAACTACATACATGAAGTGTAAGAAGAAGATCAATATACGAATTATATATAGGAATGAGCTACCAAACTTATGCCTGAGCAGAAGCTTGAAGAAAACGCAGAGCCTAAGAGATAAAATGGAGGAAAGACCTAGAATCCAACTTCCTTGATGCTAGTGACAATATAGAAGGAGTATAAGTTGCAAATACAAATTCATCCATCGATTGTTATAGATACCTGTAAGCCCCATGCAGCCATACCCCAATCTTGAGACCTATAAGCCCCATGTAGCCATACCCTAATCTCGAGAATCGTAGAGCGTTTTGAATTTTCTTAAAAAAGCCCTAGGTAGAATGGTTCTTGAAAAAGCCGTAGGAATGAGTGAATTAAAGGAGATATAGAGGAGAGATTGAAGAAGTGGGCACTTTAAAATTTTAGAATCTTAGAGGATTTCATTTTTTCTCTTTAAAATCACGCGTTTGATAAAAAAAATAATAAGCGACATTTCTAGAGGACACAAATTAAAAACAAGTGACCTCCGTGTTTGTATTTTTTTTGTTGGAAATTAATTTTAAGGCACACAAAAATGCGTGTCCTCTATCCGTCAAATTTTAAAAGGCATAGTTTTTTTAAGGACACACAAAAATGCATATCATAAATCAGCGAGTGTCATTGTTTGCGCGTCATCAAAGGGTATTTTTCTTGTAGTGGACCAAAATGTGAACTTTGAATAACATTATTATTAAGGACACACAAAAGTGCATATTGTAAATCATCGAGTGTCAGTGTTTACACGCCATTAAAGGGTATTTTTCTTGTAGTGGACCAAAATGTGAACTTTGGAGATCAAGGAGAGGTAAAATGGTCCTTCACCGTTTTTGGAGATTTAGAAAAGGAGTTAGCTTAGCAGTTTAATTTTGTTGATAAATTGCTATTTAGAGGTGATTGTGATATATGTAGGTGGAATCGAGACCTGCATTTTGAGTATGAGACATATCTGCTTTACTTACGAGGTGAATCTTCTCGTTATACTTGTTTGAGCGGTAATACTGTGTGACCGTAGGGTCTTATTTAAGTTATTAACTGGAGGGTCCTATGAGCTTATACTGAGTTATGTGATATTATGCATATTTTCTTTGTGATATACGCTATATTATTTTGTGCCTTATTGAGTTAGGACCGGAGGATCCAAACCAAGTTGTGAGACCGGAGGGTCTTCACTAAGATACAAGACTGGAGGGTCCAACTCGAGCTGTAAGATCGGAGGGTCTTCACTTAGACACATAACCGGAGGGTCCACACCAAGTCGTGTGACCAAAGGGTCCATGTTGAGCTATAGCTATGAGAGGCTTATGGCAAAGAAGTGTGAGAACCTAGGAAGAGCCTAGTGAGCGACTTTAGTCAGAAGAGTACAATGTTTAGAGGTGAGTATTCGCTGGAGAGGGAACATGTGTAATGGGATTGGTTATCTAGAAAGTTGGGCAGCTACTTAATAAATCCAGGACGATTCGTGTGGAAAGTATGGGTAGATATGGAAAGTAGTATGGGCCCGTACTATTGAAAGCAGATGACCCATACTCGAAACAGGGAGAATTCTAGAGGTTCTAAATAGAAGATTGAAGGGAGATAACATGGTTCGGATACCATGATTCATAGCAGAGTGTGTTTCCACCTTTACTAGTTATTCCGCTGTGGTTGTTTAAAATGAAAGTGGATATGGTAGATTTTGGGGAAGAGGGCCATGTCGGTTGAGGTTCAATTGAGTGTAATTTATGGGGAAAATTGAGTCTAAATCTGGAGGGATTTGACTGGTGAGGTACCAGTTGGAGTCGTAGTCTCAAGGAACAGTGGATATGATGTTTTGTGTAGTGAGGTCTCTTGCTTCTATGAAACATCCCATTATTGAATGTTGGTTGAGGAATAAGAGATGAGGTTTGTGATAGTGAATTATTTCTAGATTGAGAGTCGTAACTAATTTGGGATAGTTGAGATGTCTGGCGGTGTGTCAGTATGAGATTTTGGGGTGACTAGAGGTAGTCACATTGGGAGGATTCCAAGGATTTCATCTAAGATTTGGGACACTTGGTGTTATTGGGTCATTACTTGGAAGGTCATTGGATGCTGCGTGTATGTTGCATGAGTTGGGAATGGCACATGTAGTGAGCCAGTTTGTAGTGTGGTCTGTTGGTATGTCAATGGACTATGGTTCGAACCCTATAAGGGAGGACCAAGTATTCTGTGGGGGATCCTCTACCTGATGTGGTACAGAAGTTTGGGTTATAGGGATCTGCGGTCTAAATATATGAGAATGGGTCATGTGGTAGTCAAGGATACATACAGAGCGAGATGATGCATGTTGCATATGCTTAGGAGAGAATGAGTGTCTTCATGGTAGGTGGCCATTAGACAGGAATCTGATTATGGTCCGTGTTTCTTCTTGTGTAATAATATTGACTTTCAAGAAGGGTGGGTTACTGAGGTCAATATTCGATTGTCGAAAGATTGATAGTTCAACGTATAGATTGTTATCTGCACTCCAGGAAGGGCGTCAATTGATTTGCTAATCAACTTCAGAGTCGATATGAGTTGTTTCACATGGGTGTCGATCATTAGAGGATGGATTTTCAGATTGTCACCAATGTGTTCTCAGTCGTGACGATTCCTCAGTGATTGAAATTGTGAGTGGGAGTACTTAAAGGGATCAAGTTCTATGAGTAGAAGATTAGTGATCATGGCAAGACATCGTGAGATTCTCTGATGGTGTAATGTGGTATCTGAGTATGATGCCCTAAATTGTTGGATTACTATGAAATTTTGCTTTGTCAGACGACAAGTGGAATATTAAGTGACTATATTTCTAGATGTGAGACCATTAGTTAATTGTCGCCGGACATGAATTGTCCAAGGGTGTAACGGTACTGAGGAAAGTGTCTTGTCTACGAGAATTTCATCAAGAGTAGTCATCCATAATCTAAAAAGGTGTATGCACCTAAATATGTTGGACTGCGGAGCATGAGATAGTGAACTCAGTGTGGTGACGACTTGATGATGAGATTGTGGGGTGATAAGAAAGTGAGCGGATCCGGGTGGGAGTAATCATTTAGGGCTGTTAGAGAAAACCGTGGGGGTGAGCCCATGATGAGTGAGAGAGTGTTGTAAGACTACGGGGAACCATAGCATTCACGAGTCAGTGAGAGGGAGTATCGTATAACTGCGGAGAGCCATAGCATACATGAGTCAGAGATTAAGTATCGTATGAATATGGGGAGCCGTAGCCTACATGAGTCAGAGAGAGTATTGTATGACTGTGATGAGCCATAGCATACACGAGTCAGAGAGAGTATCGTGTGACTACGGGGAACCGTAGCATACACGAGTTAGAGAGAGTATCATATGACCGTGGGAAGCCGTAGCATACACGAGTCAGAGAAAGAGAGACAAGTAGAAAGAGAGAGATTATGACAATGAAGAGCCATAGCATTCAGAAGAGAGAGAGAGAGAGAGAGAGAGAGAGAGTATCGTAAGACTACAAGGAGCCGTAGCGTAAACAATGCAGTGATAAAGTGTTATAAGACTACGGGGAGCCGTAGCACATATTAGTCATCGAGAGAGTATTATAAAACTGTAGGGAGACATAGCCTTTACTAGTCAGGGTATGATGCAGAGGGGTTCTTAGGCCTGGGTAGCATTTCCCAAATGAGTTTTTCAGAACCTGGTGATAGGAACAGGGGTGAGACTAGGGACTCTATGATGGTCAGAAACCCTTTTATCTCGATTGAGGGATGTGTTGTCAAAAATCGAAAGGATGGGACAAGTAATGTACGTGTGGATTTGCGGATCTTGGGTCGAGAGTTGAGTATCAGATTGGATATGAGTGGTTCCAATTCTATGTCGGACCAGACTCTTGTAATGAATTTACGCTCTATTTGTGTGGAGGATGGGCATGTTGGGATTTTGGAGTTTTAAGATGTATTTCATTGTGAGTGGGGAAGTCTTCCATCCGATGTTTTAGACCTGGGTGGATCAGTTCGTGGGTTTGAGGGGAACCACAACCTACATGAAGTAGTAAGTAGTAGACGACAAAGGTCGGAGGTGAGGTGAAACTTCAATTCGGTTGTAGTAATCATTTAGGGTAAATCAAACTTGGTGACTGTAAGTCCAGTGTGATTTGTTGAGATAGCTTGGTTGGATAGAACGACTGTGAAGTCATATTTCCGAATGTGTTAAGGCAACCTTGGAGGTTCAACTCTTAGTTCGGTAGCTGAGCTGGTACACAGTAGGGAAGGGACATTAGAAGTGAAGTTGGGGCTTATGGTTATGGATATCAGAGGATATTTACGACCGAGCCTGGTCATTCTTTTAGTGGCGAAGGGAAGAGTATTGAGATTAATTTATCAGATGGGTTATGATAACGGTACTGACAATTGATACTTGGTGAGATGTGACCCCTCCGTTCCTTTTGAGCAATGATCTGGATCGACTGGTATGTCCTACACGAGTGATCAGCGGCCAATTATTGGATAAGCAATTGTTCCCACCAGTCGCAACAAGATAATTAGAGTTGGAAGTGTTTATCAGGGTTTGTTATTCGATGAGCGATTAACATGCTGATATTCTATATGGTCAGTCTGTCGGGGAGACAGACCACTATAGTTTTCAGGTTCTGGAGAGTTAAAGTTGGCACTACAATGGCAGAGTGGTCCGTCCTTCTTAGGGTTTGGAGTTCCTGTTTGGTTTCGGGTGACTTGGGAGGGAGATTGTTGTATGATATGATCTTTTTCTGGTGGTGCTTCTCGGGTGTTCTTTTCGATCGATGTACTGATAATGAGCGATTTTGAGGGAGAAATCTAATTTAAGTGGGGGGAGAATTGTAACACCCCGATTCCTGGATGTTGGACTTAGGGATTTTTTGCATGTTGAAGGGCCTAATCGACGAGTTGGTTGGCCCAACTCGTCATGTAAGAGCTGATATGGACACGTGAGTTATGAAGCCTACTCATCGAGTTGGAGAGTTTAACTTGATGAGTTGAAGCTGTTAAGAGAAAACCCTAATTATTCGGCTTTGCACCCTATTAAAAGGACTTTAAATCCGTTACCCTGTCTCTCTTATCACCTTATCATGTCTAGAGAGAATCCATAGTGGGTGAGCCCATATTTTGAGTGTGTGAAGCCAAAACTGTGCATTTATGGAGGAAGCTTGAAGATTGAAGATCTTGGAACAAGGAGTCTTTAGATCCAACATTCATAAGTTGTAGCATCTATTTGGAGGTAAAAGGTCCTTAACCTT